TCCTGGGCTCTATCACACTACAAAGGAGTTGCCCAGGGCACACGCTCCCCAGTTTCTGCCACTTTTCCAGGTCCTACGCTCATTTTTCTGCTGTTCCCTCAATCTGAAGGTCAACAATACCAGGCTTCCTCATGCAACAGGGCTTGGCAGTGGGTCATCAAGGGTCCAGGCTTTTCCAGGGAAGTGTGTGGTGATGGTGGAGTTTCTTCTTCCTCCATTTTTGGATTCGTATGTTTTCTGACATACCATTGCACTTGGTTCTTCCCTTATCTGCCTGCAAATCGCTATTGCGCCCAAACCGACTACGTGTGGAGCTTTTTCTCTGTGTTGGGTGCTTGTTTTTTCAGCCCTACAACTGGCTTTGTCCAGATCCAGGCTTGCAAGTGACGATCAGTGAGCCGCTGATGGCCTTGGGCTCCTAGCGTGCCCTACCTCTCATCATCTCACGCCTGTCCTCTGCACTGACTGGTGTGTTTCCACTTCTCAAGGCTTCTGCTGTAACACCAGCTTTATGTTTCTCCCCAGGTCCGAGAGCCCCGGGACACTCCTAGATGTCCTGCACTCCATGGGCTGCTGCTGGAGGGTGGTGGGGACTACAGCACGGCTGTATCCTTCCCCCCTTATCCAGTCTTGCTCAGCAGGTCTTGTCCCACCAGGCACGCAGGTCCTGGCACCATGACCTGGTGTATGCAACCCATGGTCCCTTCCATGCTGCAGCGACAACCCTTGGCACCTTATTTCGGGCACTTTGAGATGAAAACATATGTCAGATGTAGCAGTTCTGCCTGAGGCCATGAGGACATCCTGTGCTGACCCCTGACTTCCCTGGTCCTGCTCTCTGCTGATGAGCAGGGGAACAGTCACTCCTCAATGACCTTGATGAGGGGAACGGGGATGCAACAGATGCAGCAGGCTTTGCACAGTTCGCTTTTCTTCCTTCTTGTTCCTAAAGCTTCCTTCTTGTTCCCAGGGTTGCACTCAACCCAATTCCGCTCCTAAGAAGCACAGTTCCCTTTTCAGCCCTTTCCCGGCACGGTTTAGGGGAGTTCAGCTCCAGGGTCCTCCTGCACTGGGTGGTCATCTCAGGCTGCTGCTGAGCCACCCGCTCCTTCATCTCCTCGGCGGATGAGCCATTCTGGGCACATCTCTGGCTTGTTCCAGTTCGATGGAACCTGGAGATTTGACCAGGGATGTTCACTTGGCTCTTTGCAGGAGGCTGGGAGGTCAGACAGGAGGTTCAGCCACCAACGTGGTGGGACAGGCAGTCTGTGATTCTATGAAAATTCCTTATTTTGGCAAGGGAAAGGAGGCTTCTTGCGCCTGGGGGTGTCTATATGGCAGGGTTCACCTTTGGACACACGCGAGATGAGGCTCAGCTTTTCCTGAGGGTGCAAACCCCCATCAGTGAGTGTTCCAAACCCTCCCGCTGCTGGATCCGCAGCCAGGAGCTGAGCGGAGGTGGGGAGGTGGGGATGAAATGGGGCAGATGTGGCTGGGAATGGGGGGAGCCTCCCAGCAGACGTGGCTCTAGTGCTGGAGAGGCACTTAGAGCACTTAAAACCAGCGGCCAAAATCCCAGGGAGAGCAAGGAGGAGGGATCAACGTGGGAGGAGGGATGAGCGCCGGGCAAACACGGGGCACGTCGCTGCAGAGGAGGGGATAAACCTGCTCCTGCCACCCGCGGCACCCAGCCCGGCGCGCGGCAGCCTGTGCTGGGACGGGCCCCTGTCTCACGGCGTACGTGACCAGCATGGGGTTCTGGAGACGTCGCCTCCAGTCTGGGCGCAGCAGCCCGGCTGGCATCGCCGGGGCAGCGCTCCTCCTCTGCCTGGGGTGTCTCTGCGGTGAGTGGCTGTCACGCGGGGAAAGGAGCATCCCAGGAGAAAGAGGGGGGTCGGAGCTCTGCGGGAACGGGGAGGACTGGACTTGCTGGTGGATGGGGCAAAGCTTCCTTTGACCCACCAGCCTGTAAAAGGAAGAGAAAGCGGCAGATGGGGAAGAAGACCTCGTTAGTCGGGTAATTATCCTGGCCACCGTGCCGCTGCCCTTGCGCAGGACGACTGGGAAGCGCTTGGAGCCTCACCAGCCAGTGGCAGTCGGGGCCCGAAA